TTGATTGTTGATTCTAATCGCTGCAGACTCAAAATCGAAACAAATTCAGTTACTTAATAAGATAAGCTTTTCTGATTTTCCCATCATAGCCTGGTGGTTATAAATTACGGAGAAAATAGCTGATACCGCGTAAACAAGCCCATTGGAAAACAAACTTGTTGTTAGACAGACATAGTTTGCGGAAACGCGCCTCCCTGTGCTGATTTGATTGTTTTCACCTCAATGGGTTCTCCTCAACACCACTATATCCCAACTGATCATCACTGAGAGAAAAATCTAGTGAAGCATGAATATCCCCATCGCTGTTTCACTTTGTTGGCACTTTCAGCTGACGTTTGTAGTGAAGTTGATCCTCCCGTGTTCACGCCAACTAGATTATCCTCCGCGATAGATTATTTGATACAAATAAACTACGGATTTCAGTTCCGCTTGAGGCTCTCCAGGTCTATTATTTATATATTTGTTTATTTGTTTCCCTACTTAGATATTCATGGTTATTCTGTGTAGTTATATTATATTTTTATTCAGTCACTATTTTGATTGCATTACTCACAGTCACTCAAAATGGGAAAATATATCGTGTTGATTCAGTTGTATCCTGGAAAGCCACTTTCCTGTTTTGGGCAGAACGTGAAAAACAATTCCCACCAATATCAAGATTGCTTTAAAGGTTAATGGTATTTTTTGTTGATCCATATAATGGTCTCACCGGGGGCAAAACTAAACACATTCAGAGTCATCCTCTTTCATCGAGTGACCACAGTTATGACCCCAACGCTGGCGAACCCACACAATACCTAATCGTCTGCCAGGCTTTCTCTGTTTTGTGAACACATTTCATTTTCCTCTAGTTCCGAAACATGACAGAAAGTCCCGTATTGGCTCCGGAAAACCGTAACATCTCGTCGCAGCATTTAAAAACTGTTTGATGCCAACAACCGTCCGATTCTTTGGAGGGACTTTAGTTATAATCGATTGTTCACTTGCGAGAAACCCTTGTAAATGGTAAAGTCCTAATTACGGTACCGGAAAAAGTGTAATAAACGAAGACTGTCCCAAAGCGTATTGGTTTTGTAACTTCGGCACTTCCCACAAATCAGGGGAAATTTCAGTTCGGCATTCGAATAATCAAATAACCACAAACACGATTATGTAGTCTGCACGTTTCAAGAAGATCAGCGTCTCATCAACGCCTGCCGGAGAATGCTTGTATGCTTTCAAGGAGCAACAGTTAATCTTGCTTTTTCCTTCATGAGAATTACTATAAGGGCTTCGAGATGTCGGAACACTTGTAACGGGTGAGACACACTATGGTTAACAGGCCGATTCCTCGGCCGGGTTCGTGGATAGTTCATGGCGCCCGTTGACTTCCAGCACCGACTTAGATCATTCACAACCGGAGTTCAGTTACGTAACTCCATGCCGGCAGGAAAGTTAAGAGCTTTCACTTTTTCGACAGAGTGTTGTTTGTTCGATCTAGATTCGGGGCCGACTGACTTCGTTTTCGAACCTTAAAAATGATTTGTATAACCTCACAGCGCCTCTATTTTGGTTTCAAGTTTTCTTCCCCATAGAATTAGTTATCCACGATTAGTCTATATACTAATCCATGTGATACTACTCGCAAGTTTCCCTGGGAAAGCTAAAAGAATTTCACCAGCACACAAAGAAAGTTAGGAGTATGTGAAACTGGCCAATGGCTGATGTCAGTGCATAGCTATTTTTGGAACCGAATTCCTTGCATACCATCTCAGTTTGCAGTTTGCGGCTTGCAAACTCATCTTCTGAATGCAGATTTATGGATTATGATCACTTTGGCAATCAATAAGATGAAATGATATCGCTATAACAGTGTCTACTAATAATGACACTTATGGGTGAGAGCTGCCTATATCCTGAGACCCACCACCGCAGTTTCAGCCATTTATTTGATATTACGTTCTTTTTCTAGAATGCTGTATTCGTACAAAGTTCAGAAAAGTTCGGGAAACTCCTAAGTTTTCATAACGCCATTTGCAGATGTACTCCTTACTTTCGAGTCAGTTTTTAGTGCTTTTTCGTGTTTCGTGTAACCTAGCTCCGTGTTCAGTAACATCTTACTTGTATCAGGATGCGGGTACGCTTGGAGTATTAACTAGAAAGCACGCCGCTCGGCCAGTCTGGTCACTCAGCCGTTGGTCTGTAGGCTCTGATTGACGTCAGTCTCATTTGGTGCGTTTGCTCTACCAGTGGGAGACCTGGGAGGCCGTGGTTGTCCTTTCATATAACAAGCAATCAGAACCAAATGCGAGTATATGGGTGGATACTAGTGGAGCAGTTTAACAGCTTGTCTCTTAAACAGACCACGGATGAAACTCAAAGATTAATGGACATGTGTCGTGCCAACATCATGGTCAGATCTTCTGCTACTCAGTTCAGCAGCTGAGTCTCCACTGTACGAAAGTTGTGGTGCATGCACGTATGTCTTCACAAGGGGTGTTGTTTCGTTCGGTTGGAATCGCTAAGTCTGCGAGACTGTACTCCAACATTTTCAGTTCAAAATATATATCCATTGCTTTCTCAAGTAACTACCTGGATTCGAGTTTACTAAATTCATTTCTTTTGGAAAGTAATGAAATAGTTTTACTGGTCCTTTCAAGTTTACTTCTTGTAGAATATTCTGAACGTCTTGCACTCAAAATCGAGCAATCTATTAAGCTTAGAACCACTGTTCCTCCCCATCGTGCTTATGAATTTTGGAGTATGGCTTGTCAACTTTCAAAACAGTCTGACTGTCAAATTTAGGTCGATGGATCTTCCACTCTGGTTGTACACGGTTTGTATCCTCCAATATAGGATAGGCCACGTAATCGCTCAACCATAGGTAGATTAATAAACTCACGTAGAATTTCACAGTTCACTTTGCTCTTAGGTATGGTTGGTAAAATCTGTGTGTATTTGCCAGTGGAATGTGTGGGAAGCTATTGTGGATTGAATCAATGAAGTGGCCATAAAATGCCTCCCAGACTTTCAGCACATCACACATAACACCTTCTAAACAGCTGCTGTAAGGTGTATGCACTGAAAATTTGCATACTCAGAACTGACTACATTGGATAGAAGAGAAACGGATGGTTTTTTAAACTCTTCGCATCCTTACTGATGGCTGATATGATCCGCAGGTTGGTTCGGAATTCATCTAGGCCAAAGGAAATTCCTGTAAATGGCTATAATTTGGACACCAGGAGACACTGTTCTGTTGCCCATGTACATTGTGAGATATGCACTAAGTTGCATATCACGAAACTATGGAACACTAAAGTGCATTATACTTTATTGTACCGTGCTATACTACACAACACTATTCTACACTATGTCGTATTGCAGTGTACTATTCCATATCATATCATACCATACTATTCTGTACTATAATGTACTACACTATATACTACACCGCGTCCCACTATACTGTAATGTAGTACGCTATGCTGCAATTCAAGATGCCTACCAGAAAAAGAGGCATTGTTGAATTCCTCACATGCACCATCGCTTTGAGACATAAAATTCCTGCAAATACTCTCCTAGTCAGCGTGGCATTTATATGCAGCCTGCTCTTAGATTGGTGCAGCTGAATGTCATTAAAGAGCATTTGTATCTGAGGATAATATTTCTTGTAACTTGAAGTATATTGCAAAAACTGGAAAGTGCTGATACTATATATTTGTAATGCACTACTCATAAGGTTGCTGAAAACTCCTCAACAACCCACGACCGGTTTCGCCCTTATTGGGGCTCATCACGTAGGCGCATTCCCCGACTTTCCAATCAAAACCGAGAGATTCAGCTGAGTTCCGGGCGAGTCTCTCGCAAAACCAAATAAGTTTGCAAATGAGTGCATTTTGCTGATATTCTACTTTAAAAATTACTTTGCCAGCTAACGATTGCTAGAGCGGGAGGATTCTATGCCAGCCGTCTACATTTTCTACTTAAAGCGAACCTTATTCAAGCTACAATGCAGAACAAATGGGAGCCATTTTGTCCTTGTTTCGAAGTATCCAATCCATCTGAGGGATTGCAACTGACACATCCGAAGGGAATTTTTTAAACTTTACCATTTAGTAATGATAAGTTAATCAGAAATGTGATCAACAATACAGAGTGGTGAATCAAAACCTTGAGTACTCAACTGGTCAGCCAATTACCTTCAGCTGCTATAAAAAGTATTCAAATTTTATCCTCAGTCAGAGGTTACATGTGATCCGTGTTACTGACTGTTACTGGTAAGGTGAAAAGCCATACAGCATGAAACTGAAAGCACACAGTCCGCTCACGACTTGGAAGTGTCAACGGCCATAAGTTCTAGTGTAAGTGGAATACGCCAATTCGATATCGCAAGTATGCTCGTTCCCGTTGCGACGGGTCATGAAACCGTGTTTTGTCTAAACTTATGAAGTTATTTTATGTGGAATCCCAGATACATTAGTAATAGGAATATAAAACCAATCCTTCAAACAAAACGTAATAATCGTCACGAAACACAATCATTCGTAAACCACTTTTGGTTTTGACGGAGAATGCAAATGAATCCCAGCTAAATCTCCTGTTTATGATATTGTTCAGCTGGGATTCTGTTGGGTCTTCTGTTGAAACCAGATTATTGCGTGAGTTGACGTACTTCACGAACGCACAGTTTGGGTTCAAGAAGAACGTAAGGCTGCCGGAAACATGGATCGCACCAACCTTGTGAGCCTCAAGAACGGCAAAACCGGTCATGGGTTGTCGAAGGGTTTCAGGAACCTTGTGAGTGGTCTTCCTCAACAAAAGCCCAAATAGGTCAAGATGAGATCATCTCTCATTGGTAAGCCAGTCATCCGTTTAGTTAAAGACAAACGGAGCAGTTTATTTTTTACTGGAGGAAAACGTTCTCCATTATTGAAAATCAATCCTCTATTTTATTCACGTCGTTACGAGTTTTTGAGTCTATTTGATGCATTTTTGACACATTTTCAACTGTCTTGTAGCATCAAAGAGGAGGTAGATGCAATGTTCAATGAGCTTGACACCGATCGGAACGGAAAAATCAGCCTTGATGAATTGAAAGCGAAACTGGAAGAGATGCATGGTGGGTCAGTGTCCCGGGCGGCGGTGGAAGAATTCATGAAGGTGCACGATGCTGATGGGGATAAGACCTGGTCCAAGACGGAGTTGGCAGCATTTTTGAAGGCGCATCAATAGAAACAACCGTATTTCGCTTTTCCAATTTATAATAAAGCATCTGCTTATCGATGTTGTTTCCGTTTGCTCATGTTGTTTATCACATAAAAGTTTCATTGACAAGAAATACATTGATTATTTCCCTCGTCTGTGTTTATCTTCCAGCCAATGACGTATGTTCTAAACTACCTCTGCTAGGATAAGTCTTGGGTTAAACTTTCGTAGCTATTTTTTATGCCCGGACTTGGGTGCCTGAATCTCACCAGCTCAGAAAAAATCTAGCATTGAACTCAAATTTCCACTCAAATGAGTTATAAGGCCTGTGGATTGCGCGAAGCAGGATAGCCATTATACCTTTTTGAGTTTACCTGGGCACCTGGCTAGAAAAGACCACACTCCGGTGTAAGATTGTTCGCCTTGTCGTGCCCATACCAGGTTGCAGCCTGTTAGGCCACATTTCAGCCTTTGTCCCCTTTCGGTCGAACTGCTCAGTAGAGAAACTGTGATGGGAAGCGAAGCAAAGGCCAAAATGGTGAATCGCTTAGCTAACCACGCCACCTAGGCTTGTGAGACTAACTTAGTGGACGGTACTCGCCCGTTCTAAACACATCTCATTTATCATATAGCTATTGTAGCCTGGATGCCCAGTGGCCCCTTAGTGTTCCGTAGTTCGAGTTTTGTGGTGTTTTGTCAGCAGGTCTCCAGCAAACAATGTGTTTGTGGGCACGTCTAAGCGTCAGAAACCGGTCGTAGACATTTACTGTTTCAAAAAACAAGCCCTATCTCGATGCCTTTTGAGAGGAGTAACGTGTAGTTCTTCATTGCTCACACTTGTTCTACTGTGATCGATGAGTGTGCTTTTCAGTGAACAGTTACTTCTGCTTTGTCGAACCGAGATATTGTTGATAATGCATATTCGTCTTTGTGTACCCATTCTGCGGAACTCTCATGCCAATCATTGTAGTTTATCGGAATACAGTACCAAATTAAATCCAGGAGCGGTCACGGCGCTTTCTGCTCCACCACTGCCGGTGTGACTAGTTCCGAGTTCGGTTACTCTTAGAGTTTCATCTAGGCTGATATCAAAAGCTTTCAAAATCAGTCGTCGCCAATTCTATTCAATCTCCTTTTGTGCAAGCCAAAATAACTGCATAGAATAAAGTCCCCATTTCCAACAATTTTTGCATGCCTATTTGCAAGTTTCAAAAAACTTGCGCAAGAAAGCACGGCCGCTACCAGTCCACATTCCGAAGATGGTTTTTATCTCAGCTTTTCAAGTAACAGAGAAAAGCCCCACTTTATACCCAGGTGACAGTGTTCAAGCCCAGGTTTCTTTAAGTAGTTCCAGATGTTTGGAGAATGGGCTGTTTGGGCCTTCCACTTCCGGAACATTTTATGTGGTTCGAGTATCGCGTTACGTTTGGAACCTATTCTCAATCCGGTCGCATTAACCAGACTGGAAAAGCCTACGTACTTTTACTTTTAGAGAACTGATATTAGAGCTTCGCCTAAGGGTAGCCTTACTTTCCTTGAGGTCAAAACTGCTCCGTAATCCTTTACGCGAGATATTTGATTCACTGATCAGGACTGACAATTCCAGCTTTTGGTCAACGCCACCATTTTCTGTGGTCAAAATACTATTTGTTCCCAAGTGTGTTGAACTTTGGTTAAATTATGAGGACAGATACGGCATACTACTTTCTCGGGTAATGTAGAACTTAATAACAATGAAGTTCTCGGGTAATGTAGGACTTAATAACAATGAAGTCCGATATCTTCTTCCAGGCTTCTGTAAGTGGTGCGAACGGAAAAGCAGTGAGCTTACATTTTGTTTCCATTGGAGTCGGTCACTCAGAAATAAACACATCACACATCGTAATTCGCACGTGTTGAGCAATCTCTACAAGATTAATGGTAACATGATCGTCTTACCTATCCGATTTTTGTGATCCAAATTCTGGTCTGACAGATGATATATCATGTTGGTGGCTTGAAGAAGAGTTCAGTGACTTCCTCCTCAAAGTGAACCAATTAGTGCATTCATACCTTAAGAGAACAAGAGTTTCTGGAAACAAAGATAGGATGGGAACAACCACACAATTGTGTGTTGCTGACAGAGGCTGATTTCTGACATTTAGTCTTTTCTAATCANTTAATCTGTTCCAATCACTTGGAGTTCACATATGGACGCCCTGAACGCAATGTTTTGATTTTTCCTCCTAGGCACACGAAATTTTTAGCCGTATCCCATATTATCGATTGCCTCAAGGCCTCCCTGAAGGGATAATTCCTCGCTTCCCATGGGCTAGTTGTTACGATTCACGAGGTTTCTCGAATCGAATCTGTGTAAAAAAAATACTCACCTTAGATAAATGCTTAAAATTTTGTAGAAAGTTGTCGTCCCACTGTCTCCTCTCCGGTCTGGAAAAGTCATTTATTCCATTCGTCTTTCATGTTTAGGACCGTCATTTAACAACACTGTCTTGAACACACACAACAAGCAGTGTTCCAACGATTTCCATCCATAGGTAGAGCGGCAGCGGCCTGAAGAGCGACTGTAAAGTGGGTAAAACTACAAAGAAGAGGATATTGTTCGGATCGTCCCTCAAATTTTTTTCTTTGTATCAGAGTGTTGAAAAGATGTCACCCGAACTGATTCCCATTCTTATTCAAAATTTCATTGTTCCTAATCACTTGAGGTCATACAGTTGCCTACATGGTTATGTAATTTATTCCACGTCTCCTCATTTGGTGGCCATCCAACCCGAATATTTCGTCTATAAAGCAGCGTCTACGGCCTGACCGTGTCTCTTTCCAAGTAGTCTGTGTGCGGAACATGACTAATCTGTTCCCATCCCTGGGTACTCCTTCACGGTAGGGAGTCATTGATTTTAAATGGTACCTACGTTGACTGTGAGCCGAAAGATTTGCACTTAAGGTCAGACCTGTGCATCAAATGGTTAACCGTTTCTTTCCAAGTGCGTGGCTGTGAACTTCATTTGCGAAGACTAGGCTGTTTATCCTTCCTGTTTTGTACGACCGCTTTCCAAACCGAGTTTAAAAATGCTTTATTCCGTAGCTGGTCTGCAGATTAAAGTAGGCATGAACAAGTCCTCTACTCTGAAGAAAACAACTAAAATGATGGCCATAAATCATTGTGTTGCCCAGACGACATGAAGCCTTCAAAATTCGATATATTGTTCCCCCTGATAGCCTGACGCCCTCACAGAAACTTCCCTATCTGAATGAAAATCATTCCGTGTTTGAGAGTGGTGCGGTTAAAATTGCTGGAACATTTCGCATGATTTTGGGGTAATGTTTTGGTATTTTCTAGCCGATTGGATATCAAAAGTGTAAAATGCGTCATCGGGTTAACAATACGGAGAGAACACAAGATATCAGCACTCTTTTTAGCGTTTTGAACCTCGCAACCGAAAACACGCAAAATACATACAAAAGTGAGTCTGTACCAGAGCTGAACTAGGAGAGGTGTAACAGTGAACCTCGATGGCACCGGAGGAAGGCCGCAAAGATCGTGTGTACCGTTTTGAAACTACGTTCATACAGAGATGTAAAAAGAGTTGAGTTTTGGTTGCGTGGCAGCATTCGGAATGAAATTTTCAGGTCAGTTTATCGATTCCTGAGAGGAGTTTGGGCCGACACAGATAAGCATGGGGTTCTTAATACCTGAGTTCTAGCAGCTGGACGTATGAGTAAGTTAGAAAATCGTCATGTGGTGACCCAAACTTGCCAAAAGAGAAAGAAATGGTGCTGAATACAATCATGGTTTGCTATGGCTACTCGAAGGGATCATTGAATCTTTAGCATTGCAGCTGTTGCCTTGATTAACAGGTTCATTTCGGCTCCACGAGGAATACACTTTGCTGTGCAGCTACGACATATTCAAAACACTTCCTGCGGTATTCGCATTCGGAACAATGCCAACATCGTAGAGCAGGTTTTGCCTGAAGTGTGTCATACATTTTTGCCCTAAAAGCACCCGCAAACATAGGTTACCGGCCAGTCGGTAGCGTGATGGACTGAACACACTTTCTCCCCAACACCCAATTATTGGCATTTGTCTCAACCGATATCTACTTCACCTGTTTATCTAACCAGCCTTTTTGGTGGAAGACACACACTCAAACAGAATTTATTGGTACGGAAATGTAGCGTTTCCTAGTTGGTCTTGTATGTTCATCGTATATTTTGTAACTCTGTAGGAGCAAGCCATTTTATAGCTCAAGTGCGTTGTCTCAGTTCACTTGCTTTTCAAGCGCTGTGACTCAAACGCGGTCTACACAACAACGAAAACCGATATGATAATTTTACTGGTTACATTGGATGGACTTTCGCTTTCAGATCAATCATCTTGGGAAAATATTTGTGACCCTCCAGCCTTAGGAATGTATGGGAACGTTAAAGTTGGCTGGAAAATATCAGAATTCCAAAGAGAATCCTGTGGTAGAGAAACTTTACAACTTCATGTTTATCATTCTGTTTCACTGCGCTTTTCATAACTTTTGCTAACTTTCACCTGAAAGCCTGAGCTTAGCGCAAACTTTATTCATACATGACAAGGAATGAGCTCCCATTTCATTGGTAACATGAAGCAACTAGCCTTCAGGAATGAATCACCTCAATTGGACGCTTGTTACATGCGTTACCAGGACCTTCAAATCTCGCTTTAAAAACAACAACAGCCTGCCGTGCGTAGACGTTGGCATTTGAACGAAGACAGCTGAAGCACTCGATAGCGGTCTCTCTCATATTATTTGCACCTAGCTGTGCGCATAACAATCGAATTATTGGACGAATTGTTGGTTGAACGTGTGAGAAAATGTTTTAAGCACTGGTCTTTGATAGAAATTCAGCGACAACAACAGCATCCAGTCGGGAAGAACGGCGAGATGGACTGCGAAGAACATGTTAGCGGATTCAAGCCATTTTAAGATGCGTAGAGGCTGTGTGTAGAGAACGGCGCACGGGAAATAACCTTTCGAATTGACGAAAATTGTAGGATGAGCCGACAGAACCACTATCAGGTCAATAACGAGTGCGTCGGGCTCACCTTTGAGAGAGATCCTCCTGTGGATTCCGAATGGAAAAGACGATTCCATGCTAATCCTTTTTGTAAAACGT